GAAATGAAAAGTAATAGCAATGGATACACAGTAAAAGTGTTTAATAACTTATTCTACATGGATGATATCAGTCTCTTTACCAAACAAGATTTGAAGGATATTTTCAATAATTTAAAGTGTTTTAGGGATGTCTTCGGTATGGATTTCGGATTAGATAAATGTGCAAAAGTAATATTTAAGAAAGGAAGAATTACGGAAACACATTCAATAGATTTCGATTTTTTCACAAAGATTAGGAAACTGTAACAAGAAGAAATAAATACCTAAGACACAGCGAAGTAGATGGAATACAGTATACCCAAATGAAGGAGAAACAAAGAAAAGAATATTACAGGAGTGTGCGTTTGGAGTTAAACCGAGTTGAATTCACAAAACAGAATATCAAGCATAAAAACTTTGGCTGTCCCTGTGGCAAAATATAATTTCAACATCCTTAATCGGAACATAACTGACGATTACGCGAATAGATGTAAAAACGAGAAAAGCTTCTTAGTTTCCACCGCATACATCATACTAAGGCTGATTTCTGTGTGTGTCCGGGTTTGATGGAGGCAGAGAATTAGTTCAAATAGTTCTAAGAAAACCAAAACAATCGGTTTTAAAAGATGCCTGGAGACTACAGAAAACCGGATGCTGATATATGTAAAAGAAAACGAAAGAAATAAGAAAATTTAAGAATAAAGGAAGCCAACAAATTTAAAAGGGAATTAAAAGATGATGAAGAAGGGTAATAAACCATAATACATCTACTACAACGAAATTAACAAAGAAAACAAAAGTAAATACAATGTATTAAATGAAGGTATGATGGAAAGATAAATCCAGTTCAGACTCAATACATTGGCCATACTAAATAAGCTCAGGTAGACAATCCCGGTACTTATCAGTGATTAAGTAGTGTAGGGTGAAAGCTAAAAGCTATGGTTTATTTTTGCTACACAGGACCAATGCTTGCTAACTAGAAATTATCAAGTACACATATTGAAAAATTGTGTTAACTCGAAATGCAGATTCTGTAATAAATATCCAGAAACAATTGACCATCTTGTATGCACAGTGTTAGAACTCACTGAAATACGGCTTGATAGATTGGGCAATATCTTCACGGGAAAATATGCAACCTTTACGAGAAAGAAACTACAAGAAACTGATTTAAACATCACCGAGAACCTATTAGAGAGAAAGGACTTGTAATAATGTTATGGGACATTACAATGCACACAGATAGAACAATTAAATCTAATCGCCCAAACATCGTGATTAAAGACCACAAAGCAGAATGAGTTTTTTGTTTGTTTGTTTAGTTTTTTTTGACATGGTAGTCTCTGCAGATTGCAATGTAACTTGGAAGATCTTTTTAAAAAATATCAAAATACAAGGATCTTGATATGGAAATCTAAAATATGTGGTACATGAAGAGATCATTAATTCTAGTTCTGGTTATTTAGAAAGTCCATGCCTTAAAGAAATACAAAAAGATTTTAAACTCTAGTACATTTCACAGATTACGAAGAGTGTTATCTTTGTAAAATGTGCTATCACATTATCAGTGGAAATTGTCATGAAGCCTTTTCTGACTATCTTTGCTTAGTGTTTTGGCCAATTCTATGTAGCCAGAAACGCGATTTGTTTGTTGTCTTTTTCTTGCATATCCTTGGATTGGGATCGTAAAATATCCGCCTGATTAGTCATCTTTCGTTCTAGCACCTTCGTAATGTTTCTGATTTCTAACACTAACCACACCCGGAAACTCCTCGAGTCATAATAGTTTCACGGCCTTGCTTGGGATAAACTCGATTAAATATTTTTTTAATTGAAATGATGTTTGCAAAAGGAAATTATTTATAAGCATCCTAATATTTTCGTGTATCGGGAAGATTCCAGATACAGAAATTCGCGAAAGGTAGACTCAGTCACATTCTACCCTTCTTCAACCATCACAGGTTTTCATGTCTTACCGTCCTTCTGACCAAGTTTCGCTTTTATTCTCGAAAAGAACTGTGCAAATAAAAAATATCGCGAGCAAACACCCTCAGGTACACGCGTCCGCGCACGCACACACACACACAAATAAAATGAGATAGATAGAGACAATCACAAATATTACATGAATATGATAACGACATCTGTCGTAACAGTGTAGTTAACATCTACATCTCACAGGTCATTTACAATATATTCTTGTCTTGTTATATGCCTTGACTCCCAGTTGGTAGAATGCAGCGAATATTCTCAAGTAAATTTAGAAAACAGATATTACGCAAATAAAAAAATGGCGACGATCTAGAAAGTCTTGAGGTTAGATCGTTTACACGACACATTGTGATCATTATTTAAGTCTTCTCATAATTTGGTCCTGTCGGAAATCATCAATATTGATAAAAAAGTTACTTACAAAAGCAATATCGTATTACTACTTTAAATTCTACTGTTAATAAACAACGCAGATAGACCTCTCTTACTCCTAAGTTAGAAAATCCTTGTAAAATCCTATTTCGGA